CTCAATTAGTCCCTCCCCCCCCCCCATGCTGGTGTAAGGACTTACCTGAAATGATGCCTCTTGATCCGATCTTCTTTCCTGTAGTTTTTCAGGATTTCCTCCAGCGCTGGTGCCGGTCTGCTGCGTCCCGCGGAGTCTGTGCGGGTGCACGCTGCTGCATTGACTTACCCAGCGTCTCTCCTCGTGTCCCGGCCGAAGATCTGTACCGTGCATACGCCCGCCCCCATCGTCCTTGGCGGCCGCCCAAGAGTCTTCAGATCTTCGGACGGGAGCGCGCGGCGGAGACGCGGGTAAGTAAAAACCTGTTTGGTGACTTATTTAAAAATAAGTCACCAAACATATGCAAACGTAAGTCAAAAAATATGCAAAACTCTGCGAGGGTTTAATGACCCTTTAAGCCTAGGAATGGAGGAATGAGATGCAATACTTAGGCCTCATTCACACTGGAATCGGCCCGCACGTACAGCTCAGTGCTGCAGCCATACCCAAGAGCTCCCAGGAAGGACGGGTGCTGCGTGTGATTAGTACGCAGCACCTGTCCTTCTCTATGGGACTACGCGGCCGTACGCCGCCCTACGCTCACCTCAAGTGCAGGTCCATAGGGGTGCGCGTTTACTGGCTCGGACCCAGACAGGATCCATCCTAGCGTACAAGTACGGACATGCGGGGCGGGTGAGCGTAAGGCCGCACAGTCCCATAGAGAAGGACGGGGCCTGCGTACTAATCACACGCAGCACCGGTCCTTCCCGGCCGTGCACGGAGCTGTAGATGCCGGCCGAGTCCCGTGTGAATGAGGCCTTACTGTATTCCTCGCTTCGACAGACTTCCAGCGATCTTCTCTCCGACGTTGGAGATTGTGGACAGGCCCTCTGCGTCCATACGTACAATACAAGACTACTGGGTCCTGCATTGCATGTGACGACCTCCATACAAACCAGGAGGACTGAAAAGATACTTCAGGAGCCTGGCCGCACCGCCTGGTGGAACCATGTGAAAGCGAGGAATAAAAGTAATAGCTTATAAAACATTCCTCACATTTCATTTCACTGATCAAAACACACAACACAACCCAACCAATCATACCAACCACCCCTTCCCCTCCTGAGTCTATCCCATCTCAGCTTATACTGTAACCTCTAAGGCCTCATTCACACAGCTAAGTGTCGGCCCGTACAGATCCGCGTGGCGTGCACGGCCGCTCCCGGGAAGGACAGGTGCTGCGTGTGATTGTACGGAGCAGCCTGTTCTTCTCTATGGGAGTACGCGGCCGTACGCTCACCCGTGCAGGTGTCCGTACTCCTACGCAGACAGGATGGATCCGGGCTGCGTCACAGCATGGACAGCCGCACCCGCACGGATCTGTACGGGCCGACACTTAGCTGTGTGAATGCGGCCTTAAAAGAGAACTAAGGGGTGTTTGTGATTAAACAGATATGGGTAAAGGTCCGCTTTAAGATCTATTTAAAGGAGAACGATGGGGTCAGTGTTTTTCCCCCTTAGTTCTCTTAAGGGTCACAGGAGGACACGTACTAGCGTCCTCCTGTGACTCTAAGCTCAGTATATAGCGGGCTATTGCCCGCAATATACTGAGCGCGCCTCAGATCCCGACATTACTGTCGAGATCCACCCAGCTGCGTGAGTGACAGCTGGCTCTGCCTATCTAGAGGCAGAGACAGCTGTGCCCACCCCCTCCCCCATCCATTCCACCAGTCAGCGCTGGAGGATAGGACAGGGGAGGGGAATCCCTTCAGAGCAGTGAACGTCGGTCGTGGCTCCCTGCCGGGATTCCCCCCCTCCCCTGTCCGATCCTCCAGCGCTGAGTGGAGGATCAGACGGGGGAGGGGGGCGAGAAGTGAGCGAACGACGGTATGTTTTCGCTCACGTCCCGATCTATTGAGCAGACGTGACGCAGTCTCATTGCCACACGTCGGCTCGAACTATGAGGATGAGCGTTTTTCACTCCCCTCATAGTTCTCCTTTAAAGGCCAGATCAAAAACCCCTTTGTGCATTCTTTGCAGCCCCTGGGCTTCCTCACCTTGCACAGCTTTGGGGAGGTTTATGATAGCTAATCAATAACATAGGAACTCAACTGACAAGCCAACGAAGGTAAAGAATTGGCGTTCTACAATGACTGAGAAGCCCGCTGTGCCCACGACGCACTTACTGCTGGTCTGGGACAGACGGGTAGAACTGCGGGTTTTGCTCCGGTACCCGGGCAGGTTCATCAGGACATCCATGCTGGAGTTATGGAGGCTGTCATCGGACGATATGTGCTCAGACTTCACCAGAGACTCCTGGGACGGCAGGCGGGTGATAGCCGGGGCAGAGACGGCTGCTTGCGGTCTAGCGTTTCGGCGCGCGGTGCTCTGCTGGTTCAGATTTTGTAGAGAGATGCCCGAGCGAAGGCTGTAGAATGAGTTGTTGGCGCTCTCGGACGGGGGCTCCACTTCTTCCTTTGTTCGCTGTGGTAGAAGACAAAAGTTATTGGACATACAGGTCCTCCCCATGGGGACAACTTGATGCAGGCAATCTGGTTAGTGTTTAGTGATGGATACAGTGTCCAACTACCCTTGTGTATTCATTCTCTGCCGGAGTCCATCTCATTTGGTATAGAATGACATCAAATCTACCTTTTCATTCTGGATAATGTAGGAAAGTCGGTTATTCTGAGCCGGAAGTAACCGGCGCTCCCACTCTTGCTTTTAGAAAGGACTAGTCAATTCCTCCCTATAATTTCACAAGTCTACTTCTGAGGATCGGGCCTGCTCAACTTCAAATCAAAGACCTTCTTTATCCTGATTGGTCAGTGTACGAACCAGACCATTAGCGCCTTCAGATCGCACCCACAGAAATGTTTGCTTTTCCCCACCCCCTGCTCCCATGTGAACGATCCCTCCCAATCCAGCTGAAGCTCTACAGCAGTCAAACCCCATTTTTTGGCTTTGGCTATTATTATTATACAGGATTTATAGAGCGCCAACAGTTTGCGAGGCGCTTTACAATATAAGGAAGACATTACAGTCACAATACAAATCAAGGCAAGATGGTAAAGAAGGCCGGTTAGATTGGGGAAAGGTTACACGATCTTAGATTTTTATTGCCATCTGTGTCTCTGCTGGTGGGACTTCGCCTCAATTCCTGTCATGATGACCCAATCGGAAGGAAGATCTTTCCAGTGTTGACGGCAATAAAAATCAGATCAGAGGTTCTCAATAGGGATGCACCGATGCCGATACTAGTAGTGCTGATACCGAGTAATTGCCAAATGCCCCAGATGCCTAGCGCGATACCGGAACTTCCAGTATCAGGAAGTCGGGCAGCGAGTCATTACACGCTGCGCGGCTTCCTAATTGGCCGGGAAGCTGGCTCCATGCACATCAGGAAGCCGGGCAGCGTGTAGTGACTCGCCGCCTGGCATCCTGATTGGCCAGAAAGCCATTACCCATCCCCCGGCTTCCTGATTGGCCAGAAAGCCGGCTTCCCTGCAAATTGGGAAGCCGGGTGGCAAGTCATTACACACCGCAAATGGCCTTAATCGTACTTCCGGTATCGGTATTGGCAAGTACTGAAAAAAATACCGGTACTCATACTAGAAACGGAAAAACCGGTATGGGTGCATCCCCAGTTCTCAACCTTTGCTCACTTCCTATTCGGGTGACTACACAGGAAGGAAACATTTTTTGCCAATGGCTACAGAAACAGAATACAAAAGATTAACCCTGCCCCACGCTTATGGTAGGGGGTGGTCCTTTAAGAACAGCGAGGCTCAAAAAGGCAGGGCCAAGCTTGACCTGAACTTATAAAACTTCAACTGCCTGTATCACTGGGTTAGTGACAGGTTCACTTTAAAGGCCGTGACACACTGCACGCGAAGCCGTGCAGAGCGAAGCAAAGCTCTCCGGCACGGAGCTTCGCGTGCAGTGTGTGAGCTGAGTGCCGTCAGATGACTGACTGCACCTTCAGCCAATCGGCTCGTCTGTAACAACCGGCCAGACGTCGCATCCCGTCGCGCCGGGTTTATACGCGCGAGCCGATTGGCTGAAGTTGAAATTGTTCATCTCGGCACGCTCAGCTCTGCGAGCTCTCGCAAGCTGAGGTGCCGAGAAGGAAGCGACATGACACACTGCTCGCAAAGGCAGCGCGCCACCGCTCCGCGCGCAGTGGGTCACAAGCCATCTGACCCAGGCGATCTTGCTAGTCCCTGTCGCTCACCTTGGTCATGGTGATGTTGATGACCTGGGTGGTCCGTCTTCGAGCGGAGCGGGTCTTTTTGCTGGAGTCCAGACTGAAGTCTGCCATGGAGCCAATGCTGCCGTCCAGCTTGGACTGTGCGCGGGTGTTGGTGATGGGCGTGAAGTACAGGCTCTCCAAGGACTCCACCTTCCTGGGAAGGCGGCCGGAGGCCAATTGTTCCGGGCTTTCCGCCTGGGCTTCGGAGGAAGAGGGTTCTCGGTGGGTCCGCCCATTCTTTCTGCAAGAAGACATTCTGATGAGGGCACAAACATGAAAGGATCAGACGATGATCTGTCACATAGCAGACAACACTCATACATCCTGCAAGCTGCACATCATAAACAAACCCAAGCATCAGATGACCCAACACGAATATTTCTGTATTTGGTAGACT